CCTATTCTTTTCAAATGATTCCAAAAATAGAAAACGAAGGAAAATGTCCAAATTCATTCTATAAGGCCAGCACTACACTGATATCAAAACCAGATAAGGACTCCACTGAAAAGGTGATCTACAGGCCAATATTCCTGATGAACTTAGGTGCAAAAATTCTAAATAAAATATTAGCAAATTGAATCCAGCAATACATTAAAAAGTCATTCATCATGATCAAGTGGGATTCATTCACATCTTGCAAAGTTGGTTCAATACTCACAAATCAATCGTGTGATACAGCACATTAATAAAAAAAGGATAAGTACCATATGATCATTTCAATAGATGCAGAAAAAACATTTGACAAAGTAAACATCCATTCATGACAACAACCCTCAACAAAGTAAGTTTAGAACAAACATACCTCAGCATAATAAATGCCCTATATGGAAACCAACAGCTAATATCATCTTTGAGGGGAAACAAAACAAAACAAAACTGAGAGCTTTTCCTTTTCAGTCAGGAACAAGACAGAGATGTCCACTCTCACCACTGCTATTTAACATAATACTGGAAGTCTTAGCTACAGTAATCAGACAATAAAAAGAAATAAAAGGCATATGAATAGGCAAGGAAGAAGCACTATTTACAGGTGACATGATACTCTATAGAGAAAACCAGAAATATTCCATCAAAAAGTTGCTAGACCTGATACATGAATTCAATAAAGTCACAGAATACAAAATAATTGTGGATATACCTGTTACATTTCTATATACCAATAATGAAGCAACAGAAAGAGAAATTAAAGGAAACAATCCCATTAAAAATTGCTCCAAAAATAATAAGACATCTAGGAATAAACCTAACCAAGGAGGTGAAAGACCTGAACTCTGAAAACTATAAAGTTCTGATGACAGCAATTGAAGAAGACACAAATAAATGGAAAGACATTCCATGCTCATGGCTTGGAAAAACAAATACTGTTAAAATGTCTATACTATCCAAAGCAATCTACACATTTAATGCAATCCCTATCAAAATACTAACAGCATTTTTCACAGAGCTAGAACAAACAATCCTAAAATTTGTATAGAACCACAAAAGACCCTGAATAGCCAAAGCAACATTTAAAAGAAAAGCAAAGCTGGAGGCATCACAATTCCAGACTTCAAGTTATATTACAAAGCTGTAGTGATCAAAACAGTATGGTGCTGGCACACAAACAGACACATAGATCCTTGGAGCAGAATAGAAAATCCAGAAATGAACCCACAGCTATATGGTCAGTTATTCTTAGACAAAGCAGGAAAGAATATCCAATGAGAAAAAGACAGTCTCTTCAACAAATGGTGTTGGGAAAACTGGACAGCAACATGCAAAGAATGAAACTGGACCACTTCCTTATATCATACACAAAAATAAATTCAAAATAGATTAAAGACCTAACTGTGAGACCTGAAATCATTTAAAAAAAATGTAGAAGAGAACACAGGCAATAACTTTTTGACATTCGCAATGGCAACTTCTTACTAGATATATTTCCAGAGGCAAGGGGGGAAAAAAAGCAAAAATAAACTATTGGGACTACATCAGAATAAGAAGCTTCTACACAGTGAAGGAAACAATCAACAAAACTAAAAGGCAACCTCATAATGGGAGAAGATATTTGCAAATTACATATCCAATAAAAGGTTGGTATCCAAAATATACAAGGAATGTATACAACTCAACACCTCCCCAAACCACCAAATAATCCAACTTAAAAAAATGGGCAGAAAACAGAAATAGACATTTCTCCAAAGATGACATATAGATGACCAACAGACCGAAAAGATGCTCATCATCCCTTATCAGGGAAATGCAAATCAAAACTACAGTGAGCGGGCGCCTGGGTGGCTCAGATGGTTAAGCGTCTGCCTTCGGCTCAGGTCATGATCCCAGGGTCCTGGGATCGAGTCCCACATCGGGCTCCCTGCTCCTTGGGATCCTGCTTCTCCCTCGGGCTCTCTCTCTCTCTGTCTCTCATGAATAAATAAATAAAATCTTTAAAAACAAAAAACAAAAAAAACCAAAAAACTACAGTGAGCTATCACCTCACACCTGTTAGAATGGCTAAAACCTGTAACACAAGAAACAGCAGGTGTTGGCAAGGATGTGGGGAAAAAGGAACACTAGTGCACTGTTGGTGGGAGTAAAAATTGGTGTGCATCCACTCTGGAAAATAGAATGGAAGTTCCTCAAAAAGTTAAAAATAGAACTACCTTATCATCCAACGATTGTACTAATGGGCATTTACCCAAAGAACACAAAAACACTAATTCAAAGGGATACATGTACCCTTATGTTTATAGAAGCATTATTTATAATAGGGAGGATATGGGAGCATAGTAAGTGTCAATGGTTTGATGAATGGATAAAGAAGATGTGGTAGATACATACAATGGGATATTATTCAGCCATACAAAATGAAATTTTGTCATTTGCAATGACATGGATGGGTCTAGAGAGTATAATGCTAAGCAAAATTAAGTCAATCAGAGAAAGTCAAATACCATATGATTTCAGTCATGTGTGGTATTTAAGAAACAAAACAAAAAGGGAAAAAAGAGAAGGAGCAAGAGAGAGAAATCAAGAAACAGACTCTTAATTATAGAGAACAAACTTATGGTTACCATAGGGTAGATTGGTAGGGGGATCTGTTAAATTAGGTGATGGGGATTGAGGAGTGCACTTGTGATGAGCACAGGGTGATGTATGGAAGTGTTGAATCACATATTTGTACACCTGAAGTTAATATCACACTGTATGTTAACTAACTGGAATTAAAACAAAAACTTAAAAAGTAACCTATTTAAAACAATATTTAGAAAAAAATAGATCTGAGTTCTTTAGGGACAAGCATACTATCTTACTTGTCTTTGTTTGCCCATATCCAGTGAGCGCCTTGACATAGCTGTATACCCAATGTATAATTAAAGATTGAGTGAATAAATAAATGCTCTAGGAGAACTGTTTGCTGCACTGGGGAGTAGTGCTCCATTTTACAAGAGAGAGTCTAAGTACTTGCTTAGTGTACCAGGAAAGGAGGAACATGGTCCCAATAAAATTTTTCAGATAAGTTGATATTCATTTAAAGTATCAATATAGTCATCGGGGATATAAAAAAAATGGTAGCCTTTCTTACCTTTACTATTTTTATTCTGAATTGTATATGATGTGGGGGCACCCTATCTCTTACTGTTTAGAGCCTCTAAATGTCTTTATCTGGTCATACTTGAGAGAGGGAAAGGAATATGACCTGGTCCCCTGTCCCCAGAACAGCTCCTGGGGAGAGAGACCCAGACACACACTACAACAACACACTCTGTAATTAATGTTGGCATAGAGGGGGCTGTAGGAAGGGATGTGGGAGCTCAGAGAAGCACAGTCCTCTTAGGGGGAACAGAGCCATCAAATAAGAATGGGGATACAGGGTGGGGGATAGAGAAATCAAATAGGACTAGGAAAGAGCGATTACTGAATAACCGATAGTAAGCAGAAAAGAGACCACACTGAGGAGAATGGAAAGTTGGAAGCAGTGAATGAAGGAGGAGGTGAAGGAGGAGGTTGACAAGCAGGGAAGGAGACCCCTCTGGAGGTGGAAAAAGGCAGGACCACTTCCGGCTGGGGAGGGGAAGCCAACAAGCTCAGACCTAAGGAGAGGCTTGGAGAGAGCAGACGCCTTCTGGACTCCAGAGGACGAGGTGAGCTAAGGTACCCAACTTTGGTGAAGACCCTGTGGGAGCCTCTGAGCTATGGCTTCAGTGTGCTTGACTCCACACACCCTAAGGTGAAGAAAACCTGCTGCGGGTTCACAAGCTAATTGCATTAATGTGGTCGGGTTTAGAGGTGCTTGGACCCTGTTCGTACGGGAGATAGAGGGGACAGAATCCCCTTTGGGCCTTATAATGGAAACATCTGGACTCTGTTCGGGCCGCAGAAAGGAGGGATGCAGACCCGGTTCGGACTGCGGGAAGATAAAACAATCGTTCAGGCAGTAGAAAGGAGCAGAACCCAGTTCGGGAGGGTGATAAGCTATGGCAGGACTCCGGTAGGCTGGTGAAAGGGGACAGGATCCGGTTTGGGCCACAGAAAGTAGGGATCAGGACCCAGAAATGAAGGGCAGAATCCCTTTTGAATAGCAAGAATGGCTCAGACGGAAGCGAAGAAGGGCTAGGACCTGGTTGATTATGGTTTGAAAAGGGAAGGGACAGAAGCTGGTAGTATTCGGGAATAAGGAATACACAAAAGCGTAATACCATTGGATCTGTGGGTGGGGTATCGATGTTGCAGAAAGGGTGGGACCGGTCACTTGCAAACGTGGAAGTGGGGGAGCGGTTTTGGGGAAGGGGCAGTGCAGGGACACACTGGAGAAAGGAGGGAACGGGCGTATTAAGGAAAGGGGAGGTGCGGAGAAGTACTGCAGAAAGGAGGGAGGGGGCATATCGGGAAGGGGTGGTGCATGTTTGTACCGCAGAGTAGAAGTGGGCGGTGTTAGGGAAGGGGCGGTGCAAAGCAGTACTGCAGAGGGAGCGGGCTGGTGTTGCGGGAAGGGTTGGACGGAAATGTGATGCCGTTAGGACTGAGACGTTCTGCTTCTCTGAGAGCAGGGGGCATCTGTGAGATTGAGGTGGTCAGACTGTCCAGTACACCAAAGCGCATGTGCTCCAGTTGGCACGCATGCGCACTATTAAGTTGCAGTACGGGGGTGGGGGGTGGGGGACGTGTGTTTTAAGGGGCGGAGCTGTAGAACTGACTTGCAGTTTCTTGGAGGCAATGGGGCTAGGGTTCGGATAGGTGGTCTGGGTTTCTAGATATGAGAACCCCATAGTTGAAGCGTTTGGGGTCCAAAGTTGGATGAGATCCCCCTTCTTTCAGGATAGTGGGAGATCTGGTGAGTCTCCCTCTCCTTCTTATTCTCCCCTAATTCAGGCCCCTTCCCCTCAGGCTCAGCAGTTACTCGGCCTTTCAGAAAAATGGATAGGACAAATGACTGCGGTTATAGGATGCTCCCATTCCAGGTGAGGCCTCTCTGCATTCTCACCAGCCCATCTGCCCAGTCCTGAGTTCATTTACTGATCTTGAGCCCCCTACCACTCTGTAGTTGAAGAATTTCCTGCCTAACCTGTCCTTCCTTGCAAGGTGAAGGAGGAGGAGAGGAAAACCTGCCTGACTTTAGCTCCTGCTCCCTCCCTCTTCCCTTATCCTCCCCTTTAATCACTGCTCAGAGGAAGGGGAGGCCTTCGTGGAAAGGGTGGGCTGTAGGGAGGCCAGATGGCTCAGCCAATCATAATCCTAAATGTGTAGGGCCCTCTGCTTCCCCCTGGGAGCCTGGGGCTTCACTTTCCTCCAGATATACAGACTGAGATCACAGAAGAGGACAGTGTCTTGCTGATGCATACCCTCTTGGCGGCAACCAAGGACCCTCTGGCCATGGACCCTCCAGTTGCCAACCAGCCTAAGAAAAGCAAGACCAAGAAGGCCCCTATTAAGGCTATTACTAAGGCCATACCTGCTGCCTGTACAGTCTCATCTGCCAGTGTGATTGCCACTGACAAGCCTAAAGTAACTTTGCAGGCTTTAAACCTGCCTATCATCCCCCAGATCAACCAGGCTTCAGCTACCACTGAAGCAGCCAATACTCAGGCTTCTTCAGTCACTCCTCAGCCTAAGAAAGCCAATAAGACAAAGAGAGTTACTGCTAAGGCAACCCAAGGCTCCCAATATCCAACTGGCAAAGAGAGTGTCACTACACAGATCAAGTCGTCCTTGCAGGCCCTAAACCTACCAGACATCCTGCAGGCTATCCAGGCTCCAGTTACCAGTGGGTCAACCAACTCCCAGGCCTTGACAGCCCCCACTAAGCCTAAGAAAGTTTCTAAAGCTAAGAAGGCTGCCAATAAGGCCATAACTAGTGCTATTGCTATCTCATTGGCTCCAACCACTACCCACACAGCTACCACCCAAGGCCAAATTAATAATGAGGCAGCCACTACCCATGCCACAGCAGCCCGCATCAGAACTAATGGAGCCTCTGAAGCCAAGAAGGCAACTGTTAAGGTCATAAATACACTGAACTCCTAGAGACCCCAAATGCTGAGAGAGCTAGCAGGCTGACTGAGGTCTCAGCAGTAGCTAACTGGCCCAAAAAATTCAAAGGCAAGAAGGCTGCCAAAAAAGGCCCAAAATCTGCCTATGAGGTCTCTGAGGCTCCACTTGCTGCTCAAATGATTACAAACCAAGCCCTAGAAGCTGCCCTTCCGGTCAAGAGAGGGTCCAGGGTTCATAACTCTGCCACTAAGACCCAGGCAGCTGAAAACCAGACTAAAATTGTAGACCAAGGGGCCCAGGCCAAGATGGCCACCTTTAAGACCAACATAAGTGCCCTTGAGACTCAGGTTGCTGCTGCTGTCCAGGCCCTGGCAGATGACTACCTGGCCCAGTTGAGTCTGGAGCCTACAACCAAGACCCGGGGCAAGAGGAACCAAAAGGTGAGATCTCTGACATCACCATCCTTAACTTTTCACTTCTTTTCCATTCCTATCCTCCTAGTTTGTTCATTTGTTCTATAAAAGTTTACTGAGACTTTTTACCCTGAGCTAGTCCCAGTGTCTGGATAGGCTGTGAGAGATGCTGAGAAGAATGTGATATAGTTCCTGCTCCCTGACAGTTCACAGATTGGCGGGGGAAATAATACACCCATACACTTAGCTACAACCTGGATATAATTCAACTGTTATTTACATAGTAGTGTGCCAGGGTCTTGGGTAGTCATACAGGTTGTGTCTTTATGTTTTGAAAGTAACTCCTACTATCCAGGGATCATAGATCCCAGTTTTACAGATGAGAAACCGAGTCCCAGAGAGCTGAAGTGACTTGTCCAAGGGATAGAGTTAGCAAAGTTAGTGGTGGCCTAAAGAAGAGGAGGAACTCCAGGTCCTGCCCTTGGGTTGCTTCTGTCCTGATACAGAAATGAAACTCCTGGCTGGAAGACAGTGAAAGACAAATCTAGGACTTAGGGTGGCCAATTGTAAGGTCAGGACCCACTACAAGAAGGGTTTGGGGAATTTTCAGGAGAAAGTAGGGTAAGGAAACAGAGCCATCTCTTTCACCTGGTGACTCTGGACCTTCCTTCTTTCTAATGATGTAGTCAAAGCATCTGAATGGGGATGAGAGAGGTGGCAGTAATTACAGGTTGATCCCATGGGGCTGGAGGCCTCCACCGCCCCGAGACGTGGCCATTTTGCAAGAAAGGGTAAGAATCCAATGCTGTCCAGTCTCTTTTTCACCTCCCATCTTTTCTGTCATTCTTCCAAGTTTTCTAAAAACATATTGAGATCTCCCCATGTATTCCTCTTCTCCCAGGCAAATAAGTTGGTGAAATACCTGTTGGTTAAGGACCAGACAAAGATCCCCATCAAGCGCTCAGGTAGAGTCATAACAATCCTCCTCCCGGAAATCTCTCCACTCCCCTCTCTCCCATGCCATGGAGTAACCATTTACTTTTATAGCCTCTTCATTCTCTCATATGTCCTCCCCTGCCCTCCTCACACTCTGCCATGGCTGGCATCTCCCATTAACACAGTTCAGAACTCAGACTGCACTGACTCCACAGGCTGGCCAAAGGGCTGCAGCTCTGTGGCCCCTGCTCAGCCCAGCTCTTCCCACCTCACCCTTCCTACAGACATGCTGAAGGATGTCATCCAAGAATATGATGACTATTTCCCAGAGATCATTGAACGAGCAAGCTACGCTCTGGAGAAGGTGAAGGGGCAGCCCTGGGGGATGGGCCCAATGGGGAAGCCTTGAATCAACAAAGACATACATGTCCCTTCTGGGATAGACCACAAAGACTCACTAATCCATCCCCATCACTATGCAGTTGGGCATACAGTGGTCCAACTAGGAACATAGACTAGCCCAGGGTCATACAGCAAATCAGTGGTAAAACACAGCTAAGACTCAACCCTCCCAACTTAGTCCTGTCTGATGCTGGATGTGTCCTGTAATGTATTTCAAATGCTCACCTCTCCTTTTCATTCCCTAGTCTCTATCTCCCTAAATCCCCACTAATTACAAAGGTGATGCTGATAATAGTACATTTCTTACCTGTTTTCTATAGTGGGGGCCACTTAGCTAAGTGCTTTACTTGCACTATCTCACTGATTTCTCATATACACTTAAAACTCCAGCTACACAGGGAACTGTGGGATTCTTAGGAAGCTCACTGATGCCTAGGCTGAATTTTGTGATCTCACGGGCTATTCTTTTACTTGGCAGATGTTTCGAGTCAATCTGAAGGAAATTGATAAGCAAAGTAGCTTGTATATTCTCATCAGCACTCAGGAATCTTCTGCAGGCATACTGGGAACGTAAGCTGGGAAAGGGCTGGGGTGGGAGGGCGGCTCTACTTCTGTCTCTGGCACTACCCCATCCCTGTCATCTCTCCCCACATCTCCTTGGAGAGGCAGGAAGACAGGACCTAAAAAGTCCCCGTTCCAGTTCCTGCACATAGTTGGAGTCCTGCACATGGTAATGGTGCTTGATTATGATTGACTGAAGGGTGTAGAAGCCTGGAGCAGTGCAATCCTCCTGTCAGGTTTTCTGTTTCTCCAGAAGCTTCCCAGGAAAGCAGCCCTGTCATTGCTTGTCTCCTCCTACTGGCTTTGGTAGTGGGGTTCTGTAGGAAAGGTTTCCTGGTGTGGGTGAATCATGATGCTTGAAGGACAGGAGCACCACTGGGGCTGTGCCTAGAATTCTTTTGGGGCAGAGGGGTCTGGGAGAGAAAGAAGGGACTCACATTGCCTGGGTCCCTGGGTTGTCCCAGGTTGACAGGCATTCTTCCATCTTCTTGGCTACCTGGGGTGGGGTAAGATTGGATTTTCCCCTTCTACTCAATAGGAGACTGAGACTCAAGAGTCTAAGAGCCTTGCTCAGGGTCATATAGAGCTTGAAGCATAGACTGGGCAGAATTCTGTCACGTCTGAGGAATCTGGGAGAGGATAGCCTAGTGAGCTGGCTGGTGTGTTTTTTGCAGATGGCCGCTGGACATAAACCTTCTCTCTACCTTGTTATTCCCCTAGGACCAAGGACACACCCAAACTAGGTCTTCTCATGGTGATTCTGTCATTTTTATGAATGGCAACAAGGCCAGTGAGGGTGAGTGGCTGGGCATGCAGCTGAATGGGTGGCACAGTTGGAATTCTACATGTTCATTTTCTGTCCCTGTCTCCTTTTGCCTCCCCTTGCAGCTGTCATCTGGGAGGTGCTGCACAAGCTGGGGCTGCGCCCTGGGTATGATTGGGCTCTCTCAGCGCTTGCTGTCCATGTTGTCGTTTGGAAAGAGAGGATGGCCCCAGGACTGCATCAGCTTGGTGGTCTGGTGGAGTGGGTGGGGGTGCTGGACTGGGTAGAGGGTCCAGGGCTCTGACCTGGGTGGATGGGCGATATGGTCCTGAACTCTCTGCATCTTCCCACCCCTATGTCATTCTAAGCTGAGATAGAGGATAGAACTTCAGGGGCATCCCTGACAAAGAACCAGCTGGCCTCAACTTACTGCTTCTAATGACCATGTGTTTACTACTTTCCTGGCTTCATTGGGACTGCTGCATGTGCTAGAGAGGTTTCTTCCATGTTAAGAAATGCCTCTTCCCTCATCTGGGAAGTTTTCATCTCTGCTTATGGGTTATTTTTCCCATTGTCAGGGTGAGGCACTCGCTCTTTGGGGAAGTAAGGAAGCTCATCACAGACGAGTTTGTGAAGCAGAAGTAAGTGGTATTTGGGGGCTTTGTCTGGCCCTGAAGTGTTCCGAGTGTGCTGGTCTGGTTCAGAAAGTGCTCAAACAGCCCTTTTATTACACTAGCTTTAGAGGTAGTATGGGTATCCTATGCCCTAGAAATGAATCCTGTCCACAATTCCCATGAGTCGACAGTTTCAGGACTGGGCTAGACCAAAGACAAGGCCCTTGCTTTGGGGTGTGCTCAGAGCAGGGTGCCTGAAGAATGGCTCCTCTGTTTACAACACACCCAATAGGAACTTGGGTTTACTCCTCACAGGTGGCAAGATACTTTGGCCTTCCTGTGACATCATGCCCTATACATGCCTTCTCTGAAGCATCAAGTGACTGCCTTGCACAGGTCCAAAGGGAAATGACTCAATATTGGAGACCAATACCATGAACTGTGTTTGGGAGTGAGTGTGGGGAAGGAAGGTCTTAGAAATCCTTCTCCAGGAGCTGAGTTTAGTATTTGAAGGAAGTTGCCACCTCGTGCCCGGTGGTTGCACAACAGATTTGTTTGGTTAGAAGCAAGTTTCATTTCCTTTCTCTAAGGTATCTGGAGTACAAGAGGGTCCCTAACAGCAGACCACCTGAATATGAGTTCTTCTGGGGCTTGCGCTCCTACCATGAGACTAGCAAGATGAAAGTCCTCAAGTTTGCATGCAAGGTAATAGGAGAGCTGCCCTGACTTGTCATATTAAGGGTACCCTAGCTGAGGCACACTGTGTGCAGGGATGGTTAGGTACAGGGCAGCCTGCAGTTAGTATATAAGTGTATGGAATTTCACTGATGTCTGAGAATGCTGCCGAACATAAAGTTTACTTTGTTTCATTCTTTCTTTCATAATTTGTGTTAGTCTGCTTGCACTGTCTTAACAAAATAATAACAGACTGGGTGGCTTAAACAACAGAAATTTATTTCCTCATGGTTCTGGAGGCTGGAAGTCTGAGATCAAGGTCCAGCAGTGTCAGTTTCTGATGAAGCCTCTCCCTCTGGCTTGCATATGAATGTCTTCTTGCTGTGTTCTCACATGGTTGAGAAAGAGCCTCTTATAAAAACACTAATCTTATTGGACCAGGGCCCCACCGTTATGACCTCATTTAACTCTACTTCTATAAAGGCCCAGTCTCCAAATATAGTCACACTGGGGGCTGATGCTTTAACATATGAATTTGGAGGGAGAGACACAAACATCCAATCCATAACATTCTTTTCATTTCCCATCTTCTCAGTGAGGTTAAGTAACTTGTCCAAGGTCACACAGCACCTTAGTTATCAGAGCTGAAATTGGATCTCAGGACTGATAGAGCCCCAGAAAGCTAAGAATTAAAAAAAAAAAAAATACGGCTGGAGCGCCAGTGGCTCAGTTGTTAAGCAGCTGCCTTCGGCTCAGGTCATGGTCCCAGGGTCCTGGGATTGAGCCCCACATCGGGCTCCCTGCTCCGCGGGGAGCCTGCTTCTCCCTCTCCCGCTCCCCTTGCTTGTGTTCCCTCTCTCACTGTCTCTCTCTCTCTGTCAAATAAATAAATAAAATCTTAAAAAAAAATACAGCTATTGATTTTATACAAAGCTCATAGTGTGTACCTAATGCATAATTACAAATGTTATTGTCCTTATATTGATTATCATTCCCATTTCAGGTACAGAAGAAAGACCCCAAGGACTGGGCTGCTCAGTACCAGGAGGCAGTGGAGATGGAAGTCCAAGCTGCAGCTGTGGCTGCAGCTGAGGCTGAGGCAAGGGCTGAGGCAAGAGCCCAAATGGGGATTGGAGAGGAAGCTGTGGCTGGGCCCTGGAATTGGGATGACATGGATATCGACTGCCTAACAAGGGAAGAGTTAGGCGATGATGCTCAGTCCTGGAACAGATTTTCATTTGAAATTGAGACCAGAGCCCAAGAAAATGCAGAAGCCAGCACCAACATCGACTTCAGCAGAGGAGCTAGCACCAGGGCTACCTTCAGCGATAGTGCTAGTATTAGCTTCAGTGGTGCGCCCAGCCCCTGTGGTGGCTTTGGTGGCAGAGCTGGCATTAGCTTTGGTGGCACATCCAGGACCAGTGCCAGCTTCAGCAGTACAGCCAGCATTTGCTTTAGTGGCATACCCAGCACTAGCGCTAGTTTCAGTGGTGTAGCCAGCATTAGCTTCAGTGGTGCAGCCAGCACCAGCTCTAGTTTCAACAGTGAAGCCTGCATTAGCTTTGGTGGCACATCTTGTACCAGTGCCAGCTTTGGTGGTGGGGTCAGCTCCAGTTTCAGTGTCCCACTCAGCAGCAGTCCCAGTTTCAGTGGTGGAGCCAGCTCTGGCTTTGGAGGCACACTCAGCACCACTGCAGGCTTCAGTGGTGCACTCAGCGGTAGCAGCTTTGGCAGTATACCCAGAACCAGCACAGTTTTTAGTGGTGCACTTAGCACCAGCACTGGATTTGGTGGCACACTGAGCACTAGTGTCTGCTTTGGTGGCTCTCCCAACTCCGGTGCCAGCTTTGGTGGCACACTTAATACCAGTATCTGCTTTGGCAGCTCTCCTAGCACCACCACTGGTTTTGATGGAGTACTCAGCACCAGTGTCTCCTTTGGTGGCTCTTCTAGCACCAGCGCTGACTTTGGTGGTACACTAAGCACCAGCATCTGCTTTGGTGGCTCTCCCAGCACTGGTGCCAGCTTTGGTGGTGCATTCAGCACCAGTGTTGGCTTTGGTGGAGCACTCAACACCAGTGCTGGTTTTAACAGTGCTGCCAGCACTAGTGCCAGCTTCAGCAGTGCACCCAGCACCATCTCTGGCTTTGGCGGTGTGTTCAGCACCAGTGCTGACTTCAGTGGGGCACTTAGCACCACTACTGACTTTGGCATTGCTCCCAGTACCAGCATTGGCTTTGGTGGAGTTCCCAGCACCAGCCTCTGCTTTGGCAGTGTGTCTAACACCAACCTATGCTTTGGTGGCCATCCTAGCACTAGCACCTGCTTTAGTGGTGCTACCAGTGCTAGTTTTGGTGATGGATCCAGTACGACTACTGGTTTCATCTTTGGCAATGGGTTAAGCACCAGTGCTGGATTTAGTGGTGGACTGAGCACCAGTGCTGGCTTTGGTAGTGGACCAGGGACCAGTGCTATCTTTGGTAGTGGACTGAGCACCAGTGCTGGCTTTGGTGGTGGACTGATCTCAAGCAATGGCTTTGGTGATGGACTGGGCACCAATGCTGGTTTTAACAGCACACTTGGTACAAGTTCTGGCTTTAGTGGTGGCCTCAGCATCAGTGATGGCTTTGGTGCTGGGCCTAATAACAGCTTCAACGGAGGACCAAGTACCATCATTGGCTTCGGCAGTGGACCAAGCACAGGTGCTGGCTTCAGCAGTGGACAAAGCAGTGGTGCTGGCTTTGGCGGTGGACCAAGAAATGGTGCTGGCTTTGGTGGTGGAGCCACCAGCCCTGGTGCCTGTAGCTTCTCCTATGGCTAGTGAGGTTTCAGGTAATTACAACATTTCCACAGCCATGGCCCATGGGAATGCATATAAGAGCTGAGAAATGTTATAAGAAACCCCAAAGTGGGAGGTTTGGGTGGGAAGATGAGGACAATGAAGGAAGTATGAGAAAACAGTATATTTGGTGCTAAAATGTGTTCGTGTTTGGTGTTTTGTTTTCAGGTATATTTCCCAGGTTTACAGATACGGCTAATGAATTGCAGCAGTTCTTGCCAAGGAGCCAAGGTACATCCTTGGAATTTTTGTCCACACAGCAGTATAAGCAGATATTATCAATTAGCTGAGGGTGACACGCTATGAAAAATCTGCTTGCTGATCCTACTTTGTTGTTTGCTTCTTGTGTGCTGTCATATTTTGGTATCAGAGTTACATTAAATTTGCAAGATGAATTGGAGGTTTTTGTCTGTCTTTTATTGTGCTTAGGTTGTTGTGAGTGACATTACAGGTTCATAGAAGAACTAGAGATCAGTGTAGCTCTTCAGAGAAGGTGGGCTGCAGCTTTAGGCTAAAATGAAAGTATGATTTCAGTGGAATAGAGACCTGGAGAGAGCACGGCAGGCAAGGGGATTATAGATCGAGCAAAGATATAGGGGGGAAAAGCCTAGAATAGAAGGCAGAGGGAGAGGGTTCTGGACAGTAAATATAGATTCATTTTGAGACATTTGTATAAGAATGGAGAGATAAAGTGGGACTAGATGTGGACACAGGAACAAGGGAGGGTTTTCTTGAGATAAGAGAGAGAGAGATCTGAGCATGTTGCAGAGGGTTTGGGGGCAAAAGCCAATAAAGGACAGGAGATAGATATAGAATAGTCAAGAATTGACTGAAGTAGCCCATGCCTGAGAAGGTGGGATGGGATAGAGTGCCAAGGAATAGAGGGTGACCCTGACTGAATAGGATTTAAGGGTGGCTGTGGAAGCAGATAAACATAGGTTTGTTTCAAGCAGTAGATCCTCCCAAAAAAGTAATGTGGATTATACAAGGTTTGGGTCTTGCTGGTGGCTATGATGGAAGAACAAAGGAATCAAGGCAGTGAGTATATGAATGTCTGTCTCTTCACCACTGGGTTGCTGATACCTAGATGCATGGAGTGTGGCTGAAGAAATGGAACATAAGATTCAATCTGGCTAGGGATGGTAGAACAATGAGGAGGAAGAGAACTGGTGGATTGGAAGACAATGGAGGAATCAAAGGATTATACTCTTGATGCAGTACAAGAACAAATATTGTTCATTCAAGAAATACTACACACATGCCCACTATGTGGGAGGCATGTTTCTAAGGATCCTATGGATGACAGAGTTGTAAGGACTTGGGGCCAGTGGTCAGATAGTGGGATCCTTGTATTTAAGAAATCATACTGGAGGGGCGCCTGGGTGGCTCAGTCGTTAAGTGTCTGCCTTCGGCTTAGGTCATGATCCCAGGGTCCTGGGATCGAGCCCCACATTGGGCTCCCTGCTCAGTGGGAAGCCTGCTTCTCCTTCTCCCACTCCCCCTGCTTGTGTTCCCTCTCTCGCTGTGTCTCTCTCTGTCAAATAAATAAAATATTTTTTTAAAAAAAGAAATCATACTGGGGGCGGGATGTCTAGATGATGCCAAGATCCATGGAGTGGATGGCTGAGGGGGAAATGGTCACTAGAGTTGAGGGGGTCAGGGGACTTGGAAGCCAGGGTATTATTTGGACAATTTGTATGGACAGTGAAATCACTCAGGATGGCAGCAGGAGTTGGAGAAGAGAGGAACACTGTGGTCCAGGTACAGATTCTTCTGAGTGTAGGAATGAAGGTGTCAGGTCCTCAGCCATGCTGCCCACCAAGGAACAAGGCCCATATGTACTCATAGAGACTTAATCTCCTCCCTCACTTTTAGAGGTGCTACCCCAGAACCCTTCCCTTCAGGAAGTCCTCATCCATTCCATACCCCACAGCACCAGAAGAATTTCGCAAGGTTGGGATCTTAAGAAGATCCTGTGGGAGAAGCCTCACAATGACTTCCTCTCCCCTTTTGTAGGCAGCAAGAAAAATCTTTATTGATAAGGGTTTAGCAATTAAGAAAGTTTCATTCACAGCTAGACAGCTCCTTGGTTGTAGCTAGAAATCAAGACCTGTAGGCCAAGTCCAGGGTCTTAAGGTAGGAGAAGTGCAAGGATAGCAGCTCTTAAAAGTGGGAGACAGTGAGAGCAAAGGCAGTTCGATTTCTTGGAAAGGGCTCAGTAGTGGGCAGGGACAGTGTCCAGAGCTTCCTCAGGTTCTCGGGTGATGTCCACATTCTGAGAGGAGAGAGCCCAGGATTAATAGGAAACAGCCAGCACTGTGGAGACCCAGCCCCTCTCCTGCCTCTTGTCCTCACTGCCAGGCTTCTCTCCTTCAGCCAGGCCTGGATCTTTTTCTCAGGCAAGCCCCTGGGGAATCTCAACCTGAGGACTTTGGAGTAGGTGTTGCTCTAGCCCTGCATCTCTATGGCACCTCAGGCCTGGGCCACAGTTCCTGCATTTCTGGGTGCTGGTTATTCTACCTGTTGGTATGAAACAAGCTCTGTGGGATTGGGGTGGCCTTTCTGTGCAGGTGGGTGCTTTCACCATGTGCCAGCTTAGGCCACAGAGTCCCTCACCTACCTCAGGTTTCTCCCGATGTGTGTTTACGGCTTCCACGTTCAGGTAGATGGCCTCCACTTTGCAGCCTCAGAAAAGAACAACCAGTCCATCCATAAGCCCCCAAGGTATGTACAGATCTTCCCTGAGCTGTCATTCGCTCCCTCACCCATCACTACCCATACCCTGAGCTCCACACAGTGTGCAGATTGTGACTACTCTGTAGGGAATGGAATGCAGACCAGCTGTGTGTTGTATGGGGAAGACACCAGGTCTAAGAGAAGCCAATGGGATGTTCTCCCAGTTGCCCCTAATAGTCTCAGAGTTTTCTGAGCCTCAGTTGCTCAACTTTGAATGGAAAGGAGATGAGAATAGATGATCTCTGGGGACTCCCCCAACTCTTGTGCCCTGTGAGACAGCAATCTAATCTATATAATAGTGATGGAGCCCTGTGGACCAGCACTTAACAGTGCTGAAGTGGTGGAAGAGTCCTGGGGCCATTGCCTTGGGGCAATCAGTCCCAGGTAAAGTTTATTTAGAGGACAAAATGATTATGGCAACAACAGAGGTGTGGAAGGTCACAAAGAAGTTCTGAGAGCCTGAAGAAAAAGGAGAGTGGTATCACTGGGTGCTGTCAGAGGTGGCCTAATGCCTGTGGAAGCCCCCCTTAGCTCCATCCCTGTGGATTGCAACTTACTCTGGGCTTCAGTGCACTGTCTTCCCTATTCACACCCCAGAAGATATTTGAGTCTCTCTCTCCACTGCTCATAAATATTTCATAGCAAACCAATGTCCCAAGAGACAGTCTAAACTGACCAGGCTGGTCTTTGAGATCTTTCTTCAATCTGGCCCAACCCACACTTACTCCTCTGGTCCCCTCTGGGGATCTCTTCTACAGGTTAGTGTTCCATGTTTGGTGCTTTAGTAGAGCCAGAGAAAGTTGAGGACAGGGCCCGGATTTAGAGGCCATCCCAGTTCTTCCCTGTTCTCATCCTAATATTGCCAATTCTTCCTTCACCAGGACATCCAATTACCCACCCAAGAAACCTCCCCCAGGACTCTGCTGGGCAAATGGTATGCACTGGAAGCATGCTTATGCTCTCTATGTGTCTTTCCTCAGATGAGGGTGGGGGCACTCACCATAAGCCACAGGCGTGAGTTTAAGCACTGTGTGCAAAGGACACTTGAGATATGGCAGCTCATCTGGAAAGGAGGAGAAAGCGGCCATCAGAGACAAGGTACTGGGGAGGGTGCCATCTCCCCAGGCCCCCAGACCCTCTTCCTTATGGTCATCTTCATCAGGGTCACACACCCCCACACACACTCTGCAGTGAGCAGTGTTGAGAACAGGGTGGGCAGTGAGGAAGAATGCAGAAAGGTGGCCTCTAGAGCAGAGAAGAAGGAAGGCCCTGGGGAATGCGGACAGACTGTGAGTTCCCCAGGAGGGACAGGCTGGTTATTTGGGATGTGGCTTATCTCCTCACTCACAGGGCAAACATGAGACTAAGGCAGACCTCCCTCCTGCCCCCAGTTTCAGGTCTTCCACAGGTTCTTCTAGCATGAAGGCCCACAAATGTGTCTTGGCAAGTGTTTTCTGAGAGCTTGTTATGTGCCAGGGCCCTTGGAAATGTGTACATGTATCTTGGCAGCTCCCACAGTTTTCTCTCCAGCCCAGGCCTGTGCTTTCTGACTCCTCTCACGCTTGTTGATGGACAAACATTTCTCAATTCACTTGTTTCCAGTTGTTGACTATTGTTCATAAAGTTGTTTTGAATATTCATGTACCATTTCTTATATGAACCTAGGTTTTCATTTATTAGACATCCTTGAGAGGAGGAGATGATCAGGCCCATTCCATGGGTGAGGACACTAAGGCTCTGAGAGGAAAGACACTTGTCCTATGTCACAGTCAGGAAGTGGCAGCATTGAGACTTGAACCTAAGAGCCTCTGAGGCTAAATGCATGCTCTGCCCACTGCAGCCACCGGCCACTGCCTTGGAGGGGCTCACAGTGTCATGGGAGCGACACCCTCATCCCTCACCACTCTCCAACAATAGCCACCCTCTCCCAGCCAGGCTGCCCTTACCACTTCCCAGCTCCCTTCACTGGGCCAGATCCAAACCCCTCATGGCTTCCCTGCCCCCAAGGCTCATCCTGGGCTTTCAAGGCTCCCACCACACTCCCAGCCTCCTGAGACATCAGGTTTGGTGGTATCCTGGGCATCCATCCCGCTCCTCCTTGTCTTTGTCATTATCATTGTCAGGCCCTGGGGCCCGGTGCTCTGGGTGCAAGATCTCATTTCATCCTTGCTGATACTCTGCGGGGGCCACTGTTCCCCATGGCACACATTTCAAAATGGACCTGGAAAAGGGAAGAGACTTGCCTGAGGTCTCTGACCTAGCTCTGCCACCACCTGGACAAGTGACCTTGGCCCAGCCTTTTCTCTCTCTGGCCCTCAGAGTTCCCACCTGTCACAGCACAAGATTGGGCTAGATAGATGTACTCTGAGGGTGCCCCAGCTCTGAGGTCCTGTGGGTCTGCTTTCCCAGTCACAGCATCTCTCTGGGCCTCAAGTTTCCTCACTGAGTAATAGGGGTAAGAGCATGTACCCAGCACTTCCTGGCCCAGCTCCCAGGACGGCTGGGCACAGTTGGTGTGGCCTGCTCATGAAAGAAGGTAGGAAGTGGGTAAAGCAGTGGGACAATGACAGGTGCATGTGCCCCTCCCCACTCTATGCATGTCTGAGGTGGGGGTCCTCTGGAAAGCACCTGAGGTTGACACCCCTCCCTGTCCCACTGAGCCCCGTGACCATGGGCAGGTCACTTCACCTCTCAGAGCCTCCATCCCCTCATCTGCACAGTTAGGGTTACTTACGCTGCTTGCTTCATGGTCCCAAAGACAGTACCAAGCAGTAGAGATTGGAAGTTATAGGAAATCTAGTAGCACAAGAACCCTCACCCCAAACCACATCCCCTTTTCCAGTGAGGAGAATGAGGACCAGGCAGAGGAAATGACTTGACCAATGTCAAGTTCTCAAGTACCCTGGGTTTCAGTTTGGGATGACTCCGTATTACAAGTGCTGTTTAATTGGAAACTAGCATAGTAGAGAACATTCAAATCTGTAGGACATTGCACAATATAACTTTCAAGTATAACTTTGCAAGGTCTTCACACACCCTCACAGTATCCTGGAGATGCTAATACTTCAGCATCCACATCAGAAATGGACTGTCAAACCAAAGAGTGACATAACAGTCCCTTGCCAGTCTCCCTGCCCTAGTTTGCAGTTCAGCATATGTTGTTAGTGTATAGATACTTTGTAAATTACAGTGTCTACATATCTTTTAAAAAAGAAATTATCATTTAAAAAAGTAAAATGAAAATATCACTATCTTGGGAGAAATCCCCACAGTGAAGACAGAAGCCTATAATCAGGATCATGAAGCAACAGAAGGTCCCATTACCACCTGATGACATCATGTTTCAGAGAAATACTGTCTCAGCTTTTTCAGGTTGATGCATACTGTTAAGGTTGGCTTTGAAAACATTAACTCAGAATAATACTAATATTAAAAACAGCAGCTAACACTTATATAGCCCATACTATGTGTCATGAACTGTTCTAAGCTCTTTACATATTTAATTTATTTAAACTTTATTATTGTTCTCCCCATTTTACAGATGAGGAAATTGAGCCCAGAGAGGCTAAAGTAATTTGCAAAAGCCAGTATGTGACAGAGCAAGAATTTGACCTCAAGCATTCTTAATCTAGATACTGTGCTCTTAACCACTAAGATATAAACCACAGACTGCTGGTGTCAGGGTCCCAAATCATATCCAGTTCCCTATGCCAGGAACAGAGAGGAGAGTGGTACCTGAATTCTTATCCAGGAAGTAGGCCAGGAGGCAGCGCATGACAGCCTGATGGCAGATCACCAGTACATTTTCCTGCCGTTCTAGCTCCATTATAACTGGCTCCAGACGCTGAACCAGATCCTCATAGGACTAAAAATGACAGAATATTTGGGTAAAAAAGGTAGATGAGGAGATTTGCCCAGAGAAGAACTCAGGACTAGGAATCAGGAAAAGTTGGTTCTGGCACCAGTTCAGTAGTTGACCCAGTAGTATGACCTTAGACCACTCACTTCTTTTGTAGGGTCTTAGTTTCTCATCTACTAGATGGGAGCATTCAATACAGTGGACCAAATAACAATTATAATAAAACTTCTCAATATAAAATTCCTAGATTTCTTCCCCTTCAGGTTTCCCTCCCTTCCCTTGTTGTCCTCCATGCTATTCCTTATGTTCCACGTATGAGTGAAACCATATGATAATTGTCTTTCTCTGCTTGACTTGTTTCACTTAGCATAATCCCCTCCAGTTCCATCCATGTCGATGCAAATGGACTTGGGGAAACAAACTGAGGGTTACAGAGGGGAGGGGGTGGGGGATAGGGTAATCGGGTGATGGGTATTAAGGAGGGTACGTGTTGTGATGAGCACTGGTTGTTATACACAACTAATGAATCATTGAACACCATGTCAAAAATTAATGTATTATATGTTGGTTAACTGAACATAATAAATATAAATAAAAATAGTATTTTTCCTCATTAAAAAATAAAATTCCTAGAAAACTAAATAAAATAAATGTTTGCATTGCTGATCTTTCAACAAAATAAAGGAAAACATGAATGTAGGGTTCCAAAATGAAGAAAAACTTGGAGAAAAAAGAGAGGTAAATGGATGTAGAAGCCACAACTGCCCTGGGGGCATTTGCCAATCACAGTATCTGAGAGGCTTGAGATTTTAAAACCTCATAGAGACAGAAGACAAGGCCTTAGGTGTTCACAAGGTGGAGAATTGGGACTGAAATTTTCACATAAATCTGAGACACTCAAGGGGCTACATCATTAGTAGAAGTGTAAACTAGAAAAAATATATATCTACAGGCAAAAGGAAATGATAACATTTATCTGCCTCTGCTTGACTCAGTGGAAAAATTAGGAAAAGCTTCCTATAATAATATATTAACCACAAGCCTACTCTCAGGTGGGTTTGTGGTTCAGACTTACAATACACATGTGTTTTAGAAAATGGTAAGATGGGAGTTTAATGCAAAGCAATTTCAAGTCATTAGTTCCCAGAAGTATATGGAAGAAGCAAATGGAAATTATCTCTGAATCCTCTCAACTTAGTCTGTGCAGAATTCTTACATATAAATTTTCTCAAACTGAAGCTCACATAATATGCATGGGAAATAAGCTATCATGAGTGAAAATAAACAGAAACAATAAGAGGAGAACCCTAAAAACATAAGATAAAAGATCCACTTAAATATACATATGTAAAATAAATATGTTTGAAACTTATAAAGAAATAAAAGATGGGATAAAAATGTGAGAAAAAAATAAGATGCTATTAAATATATGATATAGATTTAAAAAAACTAATAGAATTTTTAAAAATAAAAATATATTTATTAAAATTGAAATGGACTGAATAAACAAAGATTAGACACAACTTAAGAAATAGTGATTTGGAAGATAGAGCTGAAGAAATTACTCAGGAAGCAGAAAAGACATCAAAAATAAGTTGGGAAACATAAAGGATAGGGACAGGATTAATACACATTCAGTTTTATTTCCAAAAGGAGATAATAGAGATTAGGTGAAAAAGGGAAGAAGCCATAATGTCTGAGAGTTTCTATGAGAGTTTCTAGAACACAAGAAGATCTAACAGTTGTAAATATCTATGCCCCCAACATGGGAACAGCCAACTACATAAACCAACTGTTCACCAAAATAGTCATATTGATAATAATATGTTAATTGTAGGAGACCTCAATACTCCACTCTCAGCAATAGATCATCTAAGCAGAAAATCAACAAACAAGAGCTTTGAATGACACACTGGACCAGATGGACCTCATAGATATATACAGAACATTCCACCCTAAAACAACAGAATACTCATTCTTCTTGAGCGCACATGGAACTTTCTCCAGAATAGACCATGTACTGGGTCACAAATCAAGTCTCAACCAATACCAAAAGAATGAGATTATTCCCTGCATATTCTCAGACCACAATGCTTTAAAACTGGAACTCAATCACCAGAAAATATTTGGAAGAAATTCAAACACTTGGAAGTTAAAAACCACTCTGCTCAGGAATGTTTGGGTCAACCAGGAAATCAAAGAACGTAAACAATTCATGGAAACCAATGAGAACCAAAACACATCAGTCCAAAACCTATGAAATACTGAAAGGCGGTCCTAAGGGGGAAACACATAGCCATTCAAGCCTCACTCAAAAAAAAAAACCCAGAAAAATCCCGAATTCACCAACTAACTCTACACCTTAAAGAACTAGAGAAAAAGCAACAAACGATGACTAAGCCATGCATTAGAAGAGAAATAATTAAGATTAGAGCAGAGATCAATGAATTAGAAACCGAAAACACAGTAGATCAGATCAAGGAAACTAGAGGCTCTTTCTTTGAAAGAATTAATAAGATCGATAAACCAATGGTCAGACTTATCCAAAAGAAAAGAGAAAGGACCCAAATTAATAAAATTATGAGTGAAAGGGGAGAGATCACGACTAACACCAAGGAAATAGAAACAATTATTAGAAATTATTATCAACAACTCTGTGCCAATAAATTAAGCAACCTGGATAATGGTTGCTATCCTGGAAACCTATAAACTGCCAAGGCTGAAACAGGAAGAAACTGACAACCTGAATAGGCCCAATAACCAGTAACGAGATTGAAGCAGTGATCAAAAACCTCCCAAAAATCAAGAGTCCAGGGCCTGATGGATTCCCTAGGGAATTCCACCAAACATTCAAAGAAGAAATAATACCTATTCTCCTGAAGATGTTTCAAAAAACAGAAACAGAAGGATAGCTTCCAGACTCATTCTATGAGGCCAGCATTACCTTAATCCCTAAACCAGGCAAAAACCCCATCAAAAAGGAGAATTTCAGACCTCATGAATATGGATTCCAAATCCTCAACAAAATCCTAGCTAATAGGATCCAACAATACATCAAAAGGATTATCCACAATGACCACGTGGGATTTATCCCTGGGATGCAAGGGTGGTTCAATATTCGCAAACCAATCAGTGTGAAGGAACACATTAATAAGAAGAGAGAGAAGATCCATATGGTCCTCTCAATTGATGCTGAAAAAGCATTTGACAAAATACAGCATTCTTTCCTGATTAAAACTCTTCAGACTATAGGGATAGAGGGAACATTCTTCATGTTCATAAAATACATACATGAAAAACGCACAGCGAATATCATCCTCAATGGGGAAAAGCTGAGAGCCTTCCCCTTAAAATCAGGAACAGATCAAGGATGCCCACTCTTGCCACTATTGTTCAACATAGTACTAGAAATCCTAGCAACAGCAATCAGACAACAAAAAGAAACAAATGTATTCAAATTGGCAAAGAAGAAGTCAAACTCTCTCTTTTCGCAGATGACATGATACTTTATGTGGAAAACCCAAAAGACTCCACCCCCAAATTACTAGAACTCATACAGCAATTCAGTAATGTGGCAGGATACAAAATCAATGTACAGAAATCAGTTGCTTTTTTATACACTAACAATGCAACCATAGAAAGAGAAATTAGAGAAATGATTCCATTTACAATAGCACCAAAAACCATAAGATAACTCGGAATAAACCTAACCAAAGAGGTAAAGGATCTATACTCTAGGAAGTACAGAACACTCTTGAAAGAAATTGAAGAAGACACAAAAAGATGGGAAAATCTTCCATGCTCATGGATCAGAAGAATAAACATTGTTAAAATGTCTATGCTACCCAGAGCAATCTATACCTTCAATGCCATCCCGATCAAAATTCCAATGACATTTTTCAAAGTGCTGGAACAAACAATCCTAAAATTTGTATGGAATCAGAAAAGACCCCGAATTGCCAAGGAAATGTTGAAAAAGAAAAACAAAGTTTGGGGCATCACATTGCCCGATTTCAAGCTATATTACAAAGCTGTGATCACACACAAACAGACATATAGACCAATGGAACAGAACAGAGAACCCAGATATGGACCCTCAACTCTATGGTCAAATAATCTTCGACAAAGCAGGAAAAAACATGCCATGGAAAAAAGACAGTCTCTTCAATAAATGGTGCTGGGAAAATTGG